GGGGTGCAACCCTTGTCGAAAGGATCTGCTGGCAAAAACCCCCCACATTAGGGTTTATTCTTTGATACCACGCATGTTCCGCCGCTCGCTAAGCTCGGGCCGCTTCGGGCTCCGCGGTGGCGGTAGTTGAGCCCTCAGCGAGGGTTTAAGGTGATTCTGGTAAGGGCAACAGACATGAGCATGTAAGTGAAGGAAGGAAAGGAGGAAGGAAGGAATGGGATGTGATGAGATGGCATGAAATGATGAACAAACGAATGAACGAATGATTGATGAATGAACAAACAGACAAACAGAGAGAGAGACAAACAAAGATACGTCACATATGTATGAATGCACGTATGTATGCCCCACACGGTGTTGCCTTGCCCCACTGACGGCCGGGCGATGCTCTGAGTGAGGCTGCTGTTCGAGCTTCCCACAGCTCTTGGCAACGTCCAGCAAGGCATAATCAGATGTCATATCATACCACATAGTAGTTCAACATCAAAATACTCTGGCAAGTTAAAATCGCATCTTCTTGCATGGAATCAAGAAAATCACAGCCCCAGCCAGCCACTCCGACCATGACAAAGCCCAGGCACATGGCTGAGATGGAAGCTGCATCCACCACCTGGGATCGAGGCTGTTCAGGGTTTAGTTTTGGTGTATTTTTTTGACACCTCAGGGTATAGGGTTTCGACTCACACACTCGCACAGGGCAGGCATGAGGTTTTAGGGAAAGTTGAAGGCTAAAGCCCAAATCTCAGGGGCGTCTGCGACAGCAGCCTGCGGGCTCCATATCCCAGGTCAGGTTCAAAAAGAAACACGCACTTGCTCCCTGCGACATTTCAGACGTAAGAACAGGTTGTGATGCGCAGTGTCATGCTCCATGTCAAGCACCCTACTACTCTTGCAGCAGTGACTGACTCCTCGTAGTTTGCATAACTCAGTTCTCGTCACACACTGAAGCCAGCTGTCAAGGGGATACTGCCGAAAGCTTAACAAGTTATGCTAACTTGTTATGCAACTCAGAAGCCTTTAAAACATATCGAAACCGGACAAGGGACTGAAGCCCGAGGCAGTAACATAGCACCTTTGCTCAACTCAGGCCGATGATACATGGTACCTGTGGCGTCCGCGTCTTCGAATCTTCACTACGGCAGCGGAGGCGGAGTCGTGCCTCGCTGCTCCCTGAGGCTTCTGCTTGGAAACCTCTTCGCGGTCCCACGGTGCGATGGCGCGGTGGTTCCCCTATTGAGGGCCTGCGCTCCTTCACATGTTGTTCAGCACCCTGCCACAGTGCAGGAATCATTGCCGAATTGAAACGCAGCCAGGGGCCGGAGCCACCAGCCGCAGGGAAAATCATATCCGATAACCTTCTGACTTGAGAGGCTTCCTGCACATAAATATAGATGCGACACCCCTCTCTTATATAGATCGTGGTGCTCGGTAGCTCGATAGTCCGGAGCTCAGGAGCCTGCAAGCGTGAAGAAGAAGTTGAAGCTCTGCCAAGACTCCCGGCCGGCCTGCTTTTGAAACGAGTCCCAATTATCCTTTTATTTATATATATATATATACATATACATATACATATATATATATGTATATATATATATATCGTAGTATAACAGTATGTAACAAATGATATCTGATGATATAGTATGTATTAGTATGTAATATATCCTAAGCCCTTTCGGCACTCACTCTGAGACTGGCAAGGTTCAGAGAAACAGGACCAGCCCGGGGCTTTTCTCTATGTTGGCATGATGGGGTCGCCAGTGCTCCAGAGCCAAAATACGCTGTGAAGACACCCTTACACTCGGTGCGCTGAGTCATTAAACTAATAATTACCTATACCATTTACTGTTCTGGGGGGTTCATCATTATAGTTCTAGTATAGTATACCCCAAAACCCTATGTATCATGGCTCCGGAGCTGAGTCCGCGATCCCAGTGTCAACATTTGCCGGAGAGAAAGACTGCAAGCATCGTACTGTCTCCGAGTTGCTGGGTTCAGTGATCGAACTGAAACTAACTTCTACGGATATTTCTGCCAGCAGAGTGGACTCTCCAGATGCATCAGTACAGACGGCATTCTGCGTTTTAGAATGCACTGCAACTCGCAAGACAGGCCGTAGGCTGATGATAAATGGTACCTGTGGCGACCGCGTCCTCGACTCTTCACTACTGCAGCGGAGGCGGAATCGTGCCTCGCTGCTCCTGAGGCTTCCGCTTGGAAACCTCTTCGCGGTCCCACGGTGCGATGGCTGTTGCCGAAAACATCTGCTGCTCAAGGTGAAACAAGTGTCAGCCGTTTGAAATGAGGGCTGCAAAGGCCAACATCTTCATGTTCAGAAAATCACACAGGCTGAACATCTACACAGGCTTCCCTCTGCACTGACAAACAGAAGCAGCGCCTCGCAAGGGGAGAACAATTGGAGCTCTGCGAGAGAATCCCGCGGAGGTTTTTAGCGCGGAAACACACCGCGACAGCACCACCCTAAGGAGTCGTCGCATCGCTGAATTCGGATTGGGCATCGGTGTCAGCAGTATCACAACAAAAACTTCCTGAATTGTCCTACAAGGTTGGGCACACGTCAAGCTTCCGGCTTGCTAACTGACACGTCCGATGCAGAGACACGCTGTCGTCGGCAAGCGCAAAAAGACTTCGAGGTGATACCTCACGAGAATGAATGGGAATTGCATCTCAAAAGTGTGTGACAAATGCGGCAAGTCTCACACGAAAGTGCATCAACGAAATGCTGAAAGCGTGCCCTCCGGGCGTCGCTCTCTGTCGTCACTTCATGCTACTTTCATTGCATTGCCTGTCGAGCCCTGCCACAACGCACCCGCTTCTCAAAGTCTTCCGGATTGGAACTGATGTTCTTCAGAGACTTCTGGAACTCTTCCACGTAGCCGGTGTGCGTCTTCAAAGCTGGTAGCCCGTGGCCATCACTGTCTTTATCCATTGACTTGAAGCTGAGTCGTGGTTCGACGAAATGCTCAATGGGCTTGAAGTCATCCTTCAATGTCTTCTCTGTCTTCTCTTGCTTTGTTGCCTGTTTATCCAGCTGCAAGGCTTGGAGGGAGGCAGCAAAGGAATGGCCCGCCACGTTAGGAACTGCAGCCTGTGCCGGTGCTTTCGCAGGGCACGAGACCTCCTGGCTACTTGCACAACCCATGGTCTTCGAGTCTCCAATGGCCCTCTATTGGAGGAGACTTGGGAACCCGAATCTTGAGCCCATGGATTTGAAATATGCATCATACATATATTACCATGTCCATGGCTGTCGCACATGACACGAAGAAACCGAAACCGAAACCTCAACGCCGCGATGCATTTTGTTGGGAGCCTGCCTTCTTCGTGCCCCCTTTCTTGGGATTTTAGGGATTTGTGCAAGAACTTGCAAGGTTTTTTTCCGAGCTTTGGGCCCTGGATACCCTACTCTTCCGGACGTCGGCTCGCAAGTCTTCGACTCCTCTTACGGTTTAGGGTTTAGGGCTTTTCTCTTTAACCAGAGACCCTTTACACGGGCTTGAGTTGTTCAAGCCGCAACAAAGGCCTGAATCCTATCCCTAGGCCGGGGGGCCAGGTGGCCCCTGGAATGCAAAAGGCCCTAAGCTGAGAAAGCGGCGCCTCTTTAGATACGATGCGTGTCACAAAACTAAAATTGCATCCTTTACGAGTTCTTGGGATCTTTATCGGAATCCCCTGTTTTGTGAAAATTCCATGCGGAGGCTGCATGTAGCTTGTCTAAATGATGGGCGTTGCCTCACCTCTGAGCCTAGCCGCATCCGGCGACGAGAGGACTTTGAGAATGATCTCCGCCTTTCCCATCTCGCGCCTGAGCTGCCGGCCGACTCTGGGTACGGGTTATTCGGGCTTCGGGTCAACTGAAACTCTCCAGCCGATTTCGGCTCGCAAGGCTGAGGTGAGGTTCGGGGCTGTAGGTGTCGGGATCCGGCTTCAGCACTGGAGCAAGCCTCGCTCGGCTACTGGTGTGAAGAGCAACACATCGGCCACCCACAACCATGCCCTTAAAGAGCCAGCACTCTGCCTAGCATGGTGCCCGAAGCAGGACCACGCAGCGTAATGAGCATAAAGATCAGGTGCAGGGTTTAGGGGTTTAGGGTACGTACCTCTTCTGCGATTTTGTGTTGCTCGACCGTTCTATTAAGATCTGGAACTTGTGGTGCAACCCTTGATGAAGTCAAAGCTTTCTCGTTTCTCGGCCTCGATGCAAAGCCAAACGCTGAACCCTTGAACTGAGCTCGCCCGGCCAAATCCCTCGCAGCACATCGCACTCGTGGCGAGATGCGCAAGGCATTGTGCGTACAACCCTGAAACCCCAACCTTAACTGCGAGACACTAGCAACTTCCGGAGTTCGACTATCCAGTCGGACCGGCAAGGTGCCTTTTCTCAAGCTCTGTTTTCTCCAAACAGTTTGGTGAACACTATGTGGGGTTCTAAAGAAAAAGGAGTAAAGAGAAATAGTTGGTGTTCGTACCAGTCTTCTGGACACGCACTCCGCAATATTCTGCTGTGGCGCCGCAGGTCGTTTGCACTCGTCCCATTATTTACAGGCGATCCCTGAGGCCGCGCTCTCCGGAAAGCGTTTTGGCCTAGAAATGCCTGCACCTGGCTGACGTTTCCGAATCCTGACAGTTGTGGGAAAGCATTACGGCCATAGTCCTGAATCTCGTAAATCATGCGCTGAAAGCAGGTTCATCATGTCTCTGATTCCACCAGCACATGGGGGGAAGCAGTTTGGAACCGGTTCTGAATCCCGCCAGTCTTTGGGAGGTCCTGAATTCTCCTGGTGTCGCGCGGTAGTCTGGTTCGTGGTTTCCGGATGGCTGTTTCCTGGTGGTTCTTGTGGTGGGTCTCCTCATGGTCTGTGGTGGCCTCTGGCATCTCCTAGTGGCCTCCTGGTGGTCTCTGCGTGGTCTCCCGGTCGCGGTGGTCGTGGTCGTCCTGGTTGCCCTTGTGCAGGGCGTTGTGCTTGTGGTCGTCGTGGTGGTTTATGTAGGCTGTGGATATTCAAAGCACAGGGTGGAGAGCTGACTCATACCATTCGATATCAACAGATGAGATCTGAGAGCTATCCACGCACCACCTGGAATGACTAGAACCTGCAAACTAAGCTCGGCTGTCTGCGGCCAGGGCTCAGAACATAGTTGCTGTATGCCGTGGGCATCTGCCGGCCCTGCCCCGCGATCACGGGTGCCTCCAGAAGCGTCGTTTTGATCAGCGCGGTGTCCAGGAGCAGCTGTTGGGCCCCTTTCTCGCTGATCTTGCGGCACTTGTGGACCTCTGTTACGAACCGCGCCACAAAGGACTGGACGAACTTGTCGCAGAAGAATCGGTAATGAATTTTGGAAAGGTGTCGAGCTATAGGCTCGAACTGTTTCGGCAACCTTTCGCTGATGTCACCCACAAAAGCGCTGTGGTCACCCACGTCCTGCGATTCTGCATGGCACAAACACTCATGGAATCACAGGCCAGACAGTGGATCCGAACGCGATAACTTGACAGGTCCTGTGAAAAGGCGGCCCAGTTTGTGCCTGTCATGCTGCCAAAGGCCTCGTCCAAGCTGCAGCTGACAGACTGCACAAGTGCATCGTTCGCACGGTTCACGAGATTCCGCAGGATCTCCTGCTCCTCGTGGAAACCTCACCCGACGCCAAGAACCAAAAGCATGGTAACATCCCCTCGAGTGACTCCAAACGGTTTGCATGTGAGTGTTTTGTTGTGCAGGCTCAAAAGTGGGCGAAACTGTAGTGTCAGCACCTATTTGCTCGGGCGACGTGTTATAAGGAAGAGTGCGATCCTCGAAAAAATCACTTGGAATGGGGCATGTTGTGCGCTTTACCGTGGTTTCGAGGACATTATGAAGCAAGCGTTCAGGGAAAACTTTATGTGGAGGACGATTTCACACTTATTCGCGGGCAGTGGAGCCCATCAGCATCATCATCATCATCATCATTTGGTATTGGACTACAACATCACGAAAGTACTGTAAATACCGAATGAAAAGGATGTGCTAGTACGTCATCAGCCCCTGCCCCCAGCCCCCCCTGCATGCTAAAGCATGCTAAACCCTGCAAATTCGCATAAGTCACGCGAGGGCATGCTACCAAAAACATGTGCAGAGACAGAGCCGATTTGCACCTGGAGTGAACAGTAGCGTACGAATTATGGTGGAGTATGCTGTAGTGTTCATGTAGTACATAGCATATAGTTCATAGTATGTAGCAAATGCTTAACAGTGTGTAGTATATCGTACATAGTTTAGAGTTTTAAAAGATTTCAGTTCGAGAGTATAGAGTATAGAATATAGAGTACAGCATAATTTTGAGTATAGAGTATATTCAATACAGTACACAGTGTACTTAGAATTCTAGCATAGCACAGCAGAATCGTGTAATGTAGTGTAGTGTAGCATGGTGTGGTGAAGTGTAGTGTAATGTAGTAAACATAGCATAGCGTAGCATATATGGAACAGCATAGCATGGCACAGCATAGTTTTGACGAGTGTAGTGTAATACAACATAGTATTGTATAGTACAATATAGCCGTATAGCATAACATAGTCTAGCATCACTGAGGTTCGGGCCAATGCGCTCCTGGAAGTCCGAACTGATGACCTTCAGCAAGGACTCCTCCAGCTGGGGCAGTGTCTCGTCGCAATACCTCAGCATTAGGTTAAAGGGTTTAAGGTTTTTTATTGAATGATTCGTTTTTCGTTTCGTTAGGGAGTTTTTCCCTCTCGCATTGCAGAGATCAAAGCTCCCGCGCGTTAGTGCGTAGGGTTTAGGGTTTAGGGTAGAAGCCCCCCCCAAAGCTTCGGCAGCCAGGTGGAGCCACAAGGCAAGCTCGCAAAACAGAGGCAAGGCACTCGGCCGTGCCGATGACACAGCAAACGGCTTGGACCCCAGCTACATCCAGTAGAGTCTTTTTGCCGTTGCCGGGAAGTAAGCCTGCGAGCTTTCCGGCATATTGGGTTATGATCTTCCTGAAGACCTGGAAGATGTCAAAGAGGGTGTTGTGAGTAGAGAAACCTGCACATCTGTTCATGCTACCCTTCATGGCGGCGAAAAGCTCCGGAGCCGACTTGTAGAGATATCTGGGCTCCAGGGATTCGTCCTCATCCTCGTCGTTGTCCTCGTCGTGGCCTACCATTTTGTCCGCAGAGGTCAAATTCTGCAGCACTTCCATCAGCTGCTTCTCCTCGTGCTTGACCCAAGTGCTCAAATAGGCATCGAAGCACTCACTGATGATGCCTCGGAAGCGCGGCGCGAACTCCTCTTTCGCGACCTTCGGGGCCAACGCCTCGACTTTGCCAGAGCCTCCGGCTTTGCTGGACAGGACGTCCGGGTACTTCAGGAGCAGCTGACTTGTCGACGGCCCAGGGTAGCCTTCGCCCTGGTCCTGGTCCGCCTCCACGGACCACTTCCGTGCCAACTCGTTCTCGAAGTCGATGGATTTCAGCAGCACCCGGATCATGAGCTCGGGGTCGACCGTGTGGTGCGACGTGTCCAAGATCTCCACGAGATGCTGCCGGGTCACGTGGCAGAAGAGATCGCACAAGCCACAGGGTACTCGCCAAGACTCTGGGAATTGCGACTTGTACTTGTCGTCAAACTCTCTCAATGTTCGCTTTAGCCACGCGAAACGGCGCTCTGCCGTCTCTAGGCCCGAGGCTTCTTTGGGTGGCTGGAATATGTCCTTGTAACCTTCTAAGAGTCGCAAGCAGAACTGTGTCACCACCTCCCTCTTCATGCCAGGGCCAAGTGCATCTACGCACTTGGCGGCTGCAACCCCCCAGCCCTCAGGCAAACTCTCTTGCCTGGTGGCGCTACCAATACCGCCATGGAGGCACATGTAATCGTCCAGGATCTGCTGCTTCAGGTCACCGAGGACAGCTGCCTTTCGCTCTAAGAGGTCGGCGACTCTTGCAACGTGCGACAACTCCTGAAAGTGCCTCGAAAGCTCCTCAACCGCATGGATCAGGCTCGCCGCTTGCTCATAATGTCGACACTCCGCCGTGGAGCGCAACTGCTCCAGGGCCGTGATGAGCATAACCAAGCGCTTCAGGGCCGTCACGGTCAAGGTCAAATTGCGCTTCACGATGTCCAAAGACTTGATGTCCCGGCAGACGTCGCTGACGAGCTCCTCGGACTGTTCGGCTTTTGAGCGTATGGCTTTGATCCGCTCAAAGAGCTCCCGAACGGCGAGTTTCGCATCGCTGAGGTCAGCCTGCGCTCGGCGGCCATGGGCTGCCTGCCTTCTGATCGCACCTCGGATGCCATCTTCGATTTGCTTCTCCTGCTGCCTCAGCTGCCCGATGAAGCTGCTGAGACCTTCTAAAGACTCCTGGTTGGGAAACTGCTTGTTGATGTAATCAACTGCATCAAAGTTGTCCGCATCCAGGGGGTCCGGTTCTTCCGATCCCAGAGGTTCAAAATCATCTTCCAAATCATCATCCATCGCACATGCTGCAAAGGCTCTACTGCATCTGACAACTCCGCATCTACGAGAGCCTGGAGAGCTGCAGACGCACTTGCACCCGTCCCACGACTGCGATACAGCACCAGAAGCAGAGCTGGCACTGCTGCCAATTGAATCACCTCTCTCGCCTCTCTCTCACATGGACTCAGTCACCTGTCAGCCGGGACGCAAGACACGGGAGGGGTTCTGATTGTGTTGCTACGCACAGATGCCAGAAGGTGCGGCAATCCCTGACGATGCGCCCATCAGAGAAGGCTGATTAGTGGCACGCTTTTTCTGTGGGCCGGCGGATCGAGGAGAAAGCAACTGCAAGGCTACCTCATCTTCGCGGCCAGAATTCCTTGCGCAAGGTCCAGTATCCGGGACTGTTCCTCAGCTGCTCAGCCCTCCGAACTTGGTGCCCTAGGCCAAACGTGCCTACGACTTCTGCTTGGAAACCCTCCACTCGTCAGGCAAACGTCTTTGTCTGGGACTTGGTGAGGACACACATCTGCTTCAGCAAGGACTTGAAAAGATCGTTGTGGTGCGAGGCGATGTTGACGGCCAACTTCTCCAACACCTGTCCAGTTGTCAGAGAATGCCCAGACCCCGCCACACTCCTCAGCTGCTCTGAAGCTACGCACGACAACATCTGATCGCTACTAGAAGCATGCTTCCGCGGGCTCTTCCGCAGGCTAGCGAGAGTTCCAAACACAGGCAAGCCTCTTGTCCTGAAATACTTTCAAGATGTCCTCTGCGATGCTTCGGTCAGAGTCGAACAGCTCCAGCGGCAAGCCAGCGCAGTTCGACTCCTCTGCAACTTTTGGAACCTTCCGGATGCTGGGCTTCCTTCTTGGAAGGCGGGTGCGACCTTTGAGCTACCAAGGATTCAGTGCTATCCGCGCAGCCTTCTGTGAGCAGCACAGACATGCCACAGACTGTTGAGAGCGTAACCTACCCAATCCGAACCACGAAACTCAGGACCCTGAACCCAAAACCCGAAACCTAAAACCCCTTATGAAGCTGAATTTTGCTGACTGCCGGCGATCCTAAGATGTTTAAACAAAAGGCCCTTAGCCACCTCAGGGGCTGTCCCACTTGGTGGGGGCTCCCGGCCCGAGTCGCCCTGTGCCATACCTGCCACGCAGCCGAGACGAGGTATCACGCTTCGTGTTCCTACTACAAGGTGAACTTCAGGTTCGGGCGTGGTGGCTGAGGCTCAAAAAAGCACAAACATCAGGAAGATAGGGGCCTACTCCGAAGGTGGAGAAAGGGCTTCGGGATCTCAGGTCTGGGTGTTTCGACTCTCACTGGGATGCTGGTCCAGGTTGTGACATCTCCAAAGCCTAAGACAGCTCCACAGCTTGCCCGGCACGCTATGGCTTTTCAAAGAGGTCGCCCGGGTCTTACCACGGGCTCTCGCTATCTGAGTCTGAGTGACTCGTCCATAAGAACCATAGCCGCCATAGCCTCCGAAGTTGATGCCTTCTGGGGCGCAGGGGCGCCTGGTGCGGTCAACCTCTCGTCACCGTCGCGCCGGTGGACCCCTGCACGGAAGTGTCTGTGCCAGGTCCTCACTTGTCAAGCCAGTTCCGAGGGCTGCAGCGACCGCAAAGCCTCTCAAGCGGCTCTCTGCGCTGCCGATATTCCTCAACAGGTTCTGCCCAAAGAGATGCCTCGATCCGCTGACGACAAGTCTCCACTGTGAACCGATGGCCGGCTGCGCAAATCGTCGCCTAACCATCACTGCCGGTAGGCCCAGGCGAGGCCTGCAAGGCCACAGACTTTGGTGCTGCTGGCACCATAGCGCAGGCCGGCAGAGGCAGCAGCCCGGCCCGCATTACAAAGCCTGGAATCCAAGGCTTCCCAAGGATCGGCTGAGCAGCTGTCCGCAGAGGGTGTCTGTGGCAAAGCCTCTGCAGCCTTCAGAAGGCCCGTCAGCTCATTGTTTCCTTTCAGCTTGGCTCCCCTTCATCTTTCCGGTCACGCCTGGACCGGTCGAGTGCAGCGCAGCGATCGAAAGGCTCGCGTTGAATCCTGCTGAGTCTGCTGCATGCAGAGGCGACCGGCAAGTGGTCGAGGCTTTGGTATGCTGCCAGAGCCGCCAGCTATATTCAACGACCAGGTCTTGCCGGAGATCCGGAGCGCTGAAAGCGCACGGCATCAAGTGCTCCTGTTGACGTACTTTTCCGTTCAATCTAATGGCCACGAGCGGGGACTTTAGCAAGCACCTCGGCACGAGCGAAGAAGCAACTTTACCATGTTATGGCAAAGTTGCTTCGCCACTCGTGCTAACATCCCCGCTCGTGGCCATTAGATTGAACGGAATGCGCATGTTCTGGGCCAGGGTTGTCAGGAAGTACTGAGAAGCACTCTTGGCATTGATGCCTCCTTCCTTTTCGCTCTTGTCCTTCTTCTTTGCTTTTGCAACCTTCTTCGGAGAAGTTTTCTTCGTGATGCGACGATTGGGCTTTGAAGCCTTGGCTTCCTTCCGTCGCCCCATGGCATTAACGAAAAAAGCCCGATAAGCTCGCGGCTTGAGAGGTAGGGTTTCGGACTTCGGGCTCAGAAGCGATTTCGAGCTCCTGTTTCTGGCGGGCCCTAGTAGAGACCACAATCGCTCATTGCTCCTCCTGCTGCTACTGCCACTTGTACCGTTCCTGTTCCTCTTCCTCCTGCTGCTGCTAGCACCAGTAGTTCTGCTGCTGCGACTGCTGCTATCATTACGACGACCACGGCTGACTACGGCGACGACCACGACGACGATCCAATGAAGACACAGACGAAAATGGCCATTGTTGTTTCTTTAACGGTATAGTATAGTCTAATGCTAATTCCTATAACGCTTTATGGGACGAGGTCTCTGAATTCTTATAACCCTAAACCGTTTCTACCCAGGCTTGGTTGGAGCTCGCCTGACCACCCCAAGCCCTACAGCACGATTCTGAAAAAAAACACCTCGGATGGCTGCCAGCTGCCGAAGTCCATGGAGGATGTCTGCCGACGCCGTGCGGGAGCTTCCTGGCACCTGGCTTAGCGCTTCCCTCTTTGAATAAGGGTTTAGGCAGTTTTTTTCCCACCCGCTCAGCTGACTAGGTCGCACCGCAGGGAACTCGTTTGAGGTTCGAGGTCAGAGGCTGCAAAACATGTCAAGTGAGAAGGTCCAGGGCCTGCACATTCCACTCACAGAGACGCCAGCGCCCGTACACAAACCGATAAGGAAGGAGTGGACTGTGAAAGCGCCGACCTCCGAGTCCTAACTCAACGTATCAAAGGGAAAGGCAACCTAGCCCCAACAAAACCCAGTACTCCCGGTGCCTATCCCACCTTGGTACGTCGAGCACCCGACAGGTAAGGGTCTCTAAGCTTCGACAACAAAAGAACAAGTTTAGGGTTTGGGGTTTGGGGTTGGCTCTTCCAGATGAGGTCTCTCACCCTCGGCAGAGCCCCGTTCCTCGAGAATGCTTCCAATCCTAGAAACGAACACGAACCTAAGCTGAGGGCCAAGCTGCCGACTTCTACCGTAGGCGCGGAGTGTACGGAGTAAACCATCTACCCGGTAGGAACACATCGCAGCTCAGAACTCCTCTCTTTCTACAGTCTGGGCTTTGGGTTCGGATTGTTGATTGTCACCACCAGGTTCTAATTGCATTTTATGGCTTCAGTCTTCAAAACAAACTCATAGCCGTCACGCTGCACACAATGGCCCACGAGGGAATTCCATGGATCCCATGCTGTGTTTCTCAGTGGGGTAGATTGGGCAGTAGTACCAGCAACGAACCCCCGCAACGCTAGCCATGGCTCTTGATTGTGAAAGAAAGTTTGGAGCAAACAGACACTGCCCCCCTGCTCTGTGCCCTCGCTCCAGGATTCGTTCGTCAATGCACGCAACCCGCTTCCGCAGGGTTCGAGGGGTCTTGCGACACTTGTAAACAAAGGACAATAATGACAATGACTGTAGGAGAAATGACTAGTGGTAATGATAACAATTACAAGCACTACGAAAATGACAATCATGATAATACTGAAATTTAGATTTGCGACTTGCTTGCCTCCTGCATTGCTGAGCGAGACACTTGGCAGGGTGTTGACAGTGAGAATACTGGTAATAGTGATACAATGAGAACAATGATAAAAATGACAACAATAATTGACAATATTGGTTGTAATACCCATACTACTACTGATAAAATGACGGTTACTGTATTATACTAATTTCAGTATTCGTAGCACGAGAAATGCTGGAAGTAATGCTACACTAGAAACACTACCAGTATTGCACTGCTAGAAATACTGGAAATACCAGTAAGACTCAGTAAGACTAGTATTACTAGTAATATACCGGTAAAACTAGTAATACTAGCAATACCGGTAACACTGTATTGGCAACAACAAGACGGACTAAACATGATAACGGGATGATAATAATAATAATCATAGTAGCAGTAGCAGCAGCAGCAGCAGCAGCAGGAGGAGTAGTAGTAGACAGAGCCAGTTATACCACTTCTTGACATGAAAACGTCTTGCCTTGGAAACCTTGAACTTGTCCTCACGCTCCTGCTCAGCAAGTCTTCGTGAAGCACAAGTTCGGCTCTCTGGATGCTGATGTGGTTCAAGCAACTGGTACAACTGCCGCTTAGTTGTGAGCCGCTTAGTTGTGACAGTCACGCAATCTGTGGCTGGATGTTAGAAAACTTATCAGAATGTCCAGTCCGCAGAGAGACGGGACCGGACTCCCTGCGACTGGGCTCATCCGGCCGAGCAGGGCTTCATTTAGCATGGCCAGCGACTTGGGTTCACCCGTAGAGCGGAAGCATCCAGCCAAATGCCAGTGGCACACAAACTGTTCCACAGTGCGTGCAGAGCTGGCAAGCTAGTGCGCAAGTGGGCGTAATTGCAAGCAATCAACTCCGGCGCCTGCTTCACCTGGGCTCCGGCACGCCCTCGCTGCCCAGTCCAAGTCGGTTCACCTCGCCGAAAAGGAAATCAAACAGGGCCGG